ATGACTGCAAGAATCATTGACCCTCTGAAATGGAGGGCAAGTGTAATTTGGTGGTCAATAGGCCGGCGCGGTGTCGCTCATACCTGGAGCTTCCAGATCGATCTGCACAGGCCGCTGTACAGCAGAGCTGCCGTAGCGTTGCTATGTGTTGCACTGCAACATTAACGCGCCCTCTTGTGGCCTACATTCCGTTGCCCTTCTGCACTACTCTGTATTTAGTTTACAAAACTTAGATGGGATCCATGGAGACACGTTGACTTTTTATAGACTTGTTAATTATTTACAGAGCTGTAGCGTTGCTATGTGTTGCACTGCAACATTTACGCGCCCTCTTGTGGCCTACATTCCCTTGCCCTTCTGCACTCTGTATTTAGATTACAAAACTTAGATGGGATCCATGGAGACATATTGTGACTTTTTTATAGATTTGTGAATTATTTACTGATGAAAAATTTGTGGCTTTTAATAATTTAGTTATTAGTTATTATTATAAGTTATTAATTATAAGTTATTAAGTATTTGTGGCACTTATTATTAATAATTACTTAATAATAATTAACCTACAACTCTCGCAATTTCAAATCATAATAATTATAATTGTAAAACTCGATAATTTGTAATAATTGCAACGAAATTACTGTCCAAACAAAAATATCGGTAAATTACAAGTGCAGGCTACCTAACCTAGAAAAAAGTGATTTGTTGAGTAAAATAAAATCCACAATAAGTTATATGATTTCTGATATGATTTTTCGAGTTAATGTTGTACAGATACATTTTTGAAGAAATTGTAAGCAGTCTTATTACGTTTTCATCGAATAAGTCATTCGCAGTGAAACAATCGAAAATTTTGCCTATGATTCAGGAGTGAGGCCCTTAGATTTGCAGCTTAAAAATTTTGTTAATATCCCGTCCTAAACAGCAAATTTACCAATAGCTGCTTCACCAGTTTCTGCTCACCTCAGTCGTGAAAAGTTTTTATGGATGGGATGTATCGCTGTCAGACCGCTTCAAACTTCTATTCCGAGTCTCCTGCTTTAATATTTAAAACAAATGAATATCCTATGTCTTTGATTAAAATAAACTCTTGTATACACCTGAATTTTACGACCTTTTGAATAATGCAGTTCATATAGTGGGAATTTTAAATCAGTTGGCCTGGTTCTTTATGACTTATTTAACGTTGCTTGCTTCTGATACTCATTGGATTGTTTTCGGCTTGGTATTTAATTTATCTATCTAATTTGTATTTGTATTTATCTAGTATTTAACTAAGTGCATGTAAGTGCAAGCGGTGTTTATTTGGTCGTTAGATGTGCTAAAAGCGCACAACGGTTGAGGCAATAAATTTCTAGATGTAAAAATGTAGAAACCGATTAAAATTTAGAAATAGCGGAAAATATTTAGGTTATTTAATTATTTCTCACATTGGAAATAAACGCTCGGTGTAGATATTACACATTTTAACGTTCGGGTTAAGAATTAGAAGTTTGAGGTTACAAATTTTAATTTAGCTGTGTGTTTTCAATCTTATTTTGTCTCTCAGTTAATTATTCGGAACGATATCATCATTAAAATGTTTTCCAAAATCCACGTGCAGGAATCCGATCATTTGCGGATTTAGCTGCCTTAACGAGAGTATTCAAAATTGTTCGCTAGGTAATATTTGCGCGACCGCTTCAAATTCATGTAAGTGGTACCTTTCAAAGGCCTTTCTAAAAAGTTAAATAAAATAAATGTGTATTATCGTCACGTATTTTGTGAATCGAGTGCTTGATTTATCCTATTGAGCATCATGAATAGGAGTTCCGTTTTCAGTCGTTCAATCGTACATTTTTTGGTGCTATTATAGAGCTTGTTTGCTGTCAAGTATCTGCGGATTCGGTGAAAAAAATATATTCTCAGGCCAGAAATGCGTTTAGTACAGCTGAAATATTTCATGCAATTTATTTGCCTTCTATATAATGCAGATACAACGATATTATACAGATTTCTCTCTTGGTAAGTTATTCGTTTCAAAAGTTGAAAACTTTACCATTTTCAAAATTTATCGAGGTTACAAATTAAATTTTAAGTTTGGCTTTATATAAGCTCTAAAAATGGTACATTTATTCACAGAATGTAACGTACTATTTTTAAATTGAATTTTGATATTCGAATTTACCAGGAATTCCTTGCTTAATCGTCTATTTTGGGGTCTCACTCCGCGATCGTTTGTGCTGGATCGATAATTAAGGAAAACTGGATTGAAAATTTAGTACGTATACCGCGTTGACAATGAAGGACGTACCAGGATAACAATTTAGGATGTAACGGGTCGACAATGATTGATAGACATAACGCGTTGACAATAAAGGATGTAACGTTGATAACTTAGGACGTAACGGATTGAATATTTTGGACGTTACGGGTTTAATATTTTGGACGCAACGGGTTGACAATTTCTGGCCAAACGGATTTAAAATTTAAGAAATTAAGACAACGAAGTCTGAATTATTGCCGTACGTGTTGTGATACTTTATTATAGAAATATTATTATATATTAATTATGTTGGGGTACTTTTCTACTTTCCTACTACCTTTCCTACTACTTTTGTTAGGGTAGTGGCTACTCAATCAGAAGTTCATAGGGTTCATAGGGTTTGCCAAGAGACAGTTAATTTCGGAACAATTAACAAGAAATTCTTGAGGTCCATGAGGGTGAACTCTAAACTTAATGAGTTCATCTAATTTTTTCATGGCATCTTTAACAAAATCTTTAATCCTTAACTCCCTTGTGTGTTGAACATTCCGTATCTAATCCTTAAGGTAGAAATTTAGTCAAATATTTAAACGAAGAGCCTGTAATGTATACTCGTACAATGTTTTGCCCAAGGACTCCGACATGCAGATAAATTTTTAGCATCACATTGCTCTTTTCGACGAGACATTACGATATTTTCTGCGTTTCTTTGCTGAAATTCGCACAATCTGCGCAAGTGTTTGCCTCTCCTAACCTGATAACTTAATTACATGAAGTCATCCTGTTTTCGTCTTCAGTTTCTCTTTCATCGTGGCACGTGAAATTAGATTTGTTTTCGTATAAATTAATGAAATTGATACTACCGGTTCTTTTGAAAAAAAACACAACATTATTTCGTCACTGTCAAGGACGCTGATATCGCGTTAGCACAGGTGAACAACTGACGATTTATAGTGTAGACTGAATTACGGATCGACTTCGCGTCGTCTTTCTTCTGCACCAAAACATTTCAAGAAATTACTTGTCGAAAACAATACCGCTATGATTGATTCCGCGTCCGCAAATAGTTGAATTGCGCAATTTGTAAATAGTTGAGGAATGTGAGAAGTTTGGTGACGCTCTATATATAGGTGAGTACGGTGAAAAATTACTAGAGTAACAATGGTATAATATGAATGATTTTTTGAATGTTTTTTTTTGCATATTACTAATAAAACAAACGTAAAATACGCAGCAAAATCGCACATATTGCGCGCTCACTGATATGTGTGTTAGTAATTGTAGAGACAATTTTTCACGCTGATCAGTACTCTTGCAATAACCTTTGAAGTAACTTATTCCAAATGTTGCCTATAATCGAGAACAAACATCACGTCCATTAAAATCTATGCGTCGTTACTTGAATATTAAACAGGCAAAAATGTTGAAAGCCCGAGTCATGACTTTAGAAGTCCCTTTACTATTGAGCCTTTGCCTTATTTTAATCATTGTAAAATTTATAAAGCTCAATAGTAACTGATAATCATAGTAAAATTTCTCGCTGATCGGGAAAAAAAGTTTTCGGTGGTATTTATAGGCAGATGCAGCTTGGGAGTTATCTATATACAAGCCGCGAATTTCTACTCTTTGTTAAAGAAAAACGTCGGATAATCCTGAGGTTTACAGGTGAAATCCATCTCAATGTCAGTTTCATAAAATCTGTAAAACCCTTCTTTTCAGCAATCAAACTCATAATTTTATTCGTTGAAGTAATCCGTTAAATTTTTAGCCATTCAATTGTTAAATTAAGGAGTGAATAATATTGATACGTAAGTAAACTAATTTTTTCTTGCTTCATCCGGACGTTCTGTATTAACTATTCCTGATGCACCCAGGCTCGCTCTGTATTAATTTTATTTTTTACAGCTAGGACTGTAGCGGGCCAGCCTTGGCCGCGCTATTAGTTTTCTCCAGTCGCCGCACCTCTCTAACAGAGACTGAAGAGAAAAAGTATGCGTAGGTAGTTTTCGCGAGAAGCAGCGGATTGCTAGTAGCCAGCCTACCTTTGCCTGACTTACGACACTTTGTAATGACTGTAAATATCTGTAATTATTGTCCATATAATATCTGTATTCGTAAACCTATACGCATTTAGTGATAGTCTTTGCTGAACCAGTTTTCATTCATCCTCGTACGTTAGGGCCCGCTTGCAGAGACCCAGTACCTTTGTATATGGAGCGTAGTTATCCCGCTACAGGACCACTCTGCATTGACTTTATTCATTTCCCTCAGGGTCACACTGGCACGTCGTTCTGTTTTAGCTGAATTTCATGCACTCATACTTCGATTTGTATTAACTGTATTTCATGCACTCGTCCGTCGCTCTGTATTAACTGTATTTCATGCATTCATCCGTCGCTCTGTATTTACTGTATTTCATGCCTTAATAAGTCACTCTGTATAACTGTATTTCAAGCACTCGTAGTCTCGTACTTCGCTCTGTTTTAACTGAATTTCATGCACTCATCCGCCGCTCTGTATTAACTATATTTCTTGCCCTCGTAAGTCACTCTAAATTAACTGTATTTCATGCCCTAAGAAGGCACTCTGAATTAACTGTATTTCATGCCCTCGTAAGCCGCTCTCTATTAACTGTATTTCATGTCCTAATAAGGCTCTCTGTAATAACTGCATTTCATGCATTCACGCGTTGCTCTGTATTTACTATATTTTATGCCCTAATTAGTCGCTGGGTATTAAGTGTATTTATTCTTCCCAGGATCGCACCTATACGTGTCGGCTCAGGGAGAGCTTGAGGTCGTCAAAGAAGACAAGTTGCTCGGTCGTATCTCGGCTGGCAAAGCTTTCGGTGAACTCGCCATCCTCTACAACTGCAAGAGAACGGCCAGTGTTAAAGGTGAGGTATAGTCCTTATATTTCCACGATTAACAATTGATTATTATCGTAACTTCAGGCCTTATGCTTAGTTTCGATGATTAACAATTAGTTATTATCGTATTTTTTCATGGTTATTAAGGTGAGATGTTGTCGTAATGTTTCCCACATCATTACGAACATCGTAATATCGTAGGAGAACATCGTAATATTTTCGTGTTTACTTTAGTATGGTATTTTCGTTATCTTTCTGAAATTATTGTTTACCGCTGCCTACAATATAAAATAAATGTAAAGCTTAATAAACAAAATCTTTTAATAACAAACTTGTTAACAAACAAGTTTGTTACAAAACTTGTTTACAAAATAAACTTGATTGCGTTAAAACATTAATAATTAATTAAATAACTTCAAAAAAAAAGCTTTTAGCTTTAGCTATTGATCAGTGAAAGACTTCATTTGATAATGGCATACTGCTCATAGATCTCTCACTGAACACAATTTATTTATGAAAGCTTTTTCATAAATGAATGATCTTTGAAATGAACAACTATCTTTGTTCAATCATTTTTTTCATTCTTTTGCTAAAAAATGTTTAATATCCCTAGTTTGTACGTGTAGTCCTGTTAAGTTCCTGTTCTTATTTATTACTTTTGTTTATTCGTTCACCATAATGACATCTTCGGCGTCGGAAGAACTGGCCCAAAAATTAATGAATTCCTGCAAGATCTTTCCTAAATCTATATTACATGAATTTTCCTAAGATCAGAAATGCCTGAATATGCTTGACAATTCTTTTTCACCCTTAAGGCTTTTCATGACATCTTAGTCAAATCTATTTACGCATTTCTGAATAGGTCCAATGTTTTGATCGATTAACTTTGCTCGACTTTTATCATCAAAACTCTATTTTATCGTTAGAGCTCCAGTTATATCATCAAAGCTCGAGTTTTATCATCAGAGCTTAAATTTTATCATTAGATCTTGAGTTTTTTTCCCAATAGCTCGAGCTTTATCATCAGAGCTCGAGCTTTATCATCAGAGCTCGAGCTTTATCATCAGATCTCGAGCTTTATCATCATAGCTCGAGCTTTATCATCAGAGCTCGAGTTTTATCATCAGAGCTCGAGCTTTATCATCAGAGCACGAGTTTTGTCATCAGAGCTCGAGTTTTATCATCAGAGCTCGAGCTTTATCATCAGAGCACGAGTTTTATCATCAGAGCTCAAGTTACATCATCAGAGCTCGAGTTCTATCATCAGAGCCCGCGTTTTATCATCAGAGCTCGAGTTTTATCATCAGAGCTCGAGTTTTATCATCAGTCTTAGCTCGAGCTTTATCATCAGAGCTCGAGTTCTATCATCAGAGCACGAGTTTTGTCATCAGAGCTCGAGTTTTATCATCAGAGCTCGAGCTTTATCATCAGAGCTCGAGCTTTATCATCAGAGCACGAGTTTTATCATCAGAGCACGAGTTTTGTCATTAGAGCTCAAGTTTCATCATCAGAGCTCGAGTTCTATCATCAGAGCTCGAGTTCTATCATCAGAGCACGAGTTTTGTCATCAGAGCTCGAGTTTTATCATCAGAGCTCAAGTTTCATCATCGGAGCTCGAGTTTTATCATCAGAGCACGAGTTTTATCATCAGAGCTCAAGTTTCATCATCAGAGCTCGAGTTTTATCATCAGAGCTCGAGCTTTATCATCAGAGCTCGAGCTTTATCATCAGAGCTCGAGTTTCATCATCAGAGCTCGAGTTTCATCATCAGAGCTCGAGCTTCATCATCAGAGCTCGAGCTTTATCATCAGAGCTCGAGCTTTATCATCAGAGCTCGCGTTTTATCATCAGAGCGCTAGCTCTATCATCAGAGCTCAAATTTTATCATCAGATCTCGAGCTTTATCATCAGAGCTCGCGCTTTATCATCAAATCTCGAGCTTTATCGTCAGAGCTCGAGCTTTATCATCAAAGCTCGAGCTTTATCATCAGAGCTCGAGCTTTATCATCAGTGAAGGTTGAGGCGGAACGCTTAGTTTGTTTGTGAAGGTTATCGCCGTTCAGCGCCGTAATGATTCCTAACGACCTCAGGGCGGCGAGCTCATTCTCGGCCTCGATGACCTTCTAGCGGTGACCGGATTTATAACGTGATTACTGTGTATTGATTTATAACGTGATATAAAGTGTACAGGCGCACACGGATTACTCGGACACACATAAATTACACGCACATAAACAGACTCATCAGAACGCTCTATAATAATTATTTTGTTCACGCACAAATTCTCCAGCAGAAAAATTCAACATTATTAAAATTCTCCCCTACATACAAATTTGTTTACACACAAATAGAGATGCCATAAGGTACGCTGGCAGCTAAATAACGCTGGAAATTTACGCTGGTATACAAATAACACTATCACACAAATAACGCTATAATTAAGTACACTTTAACGTATAACACTAACCCATTTTACGCGGAAAAAATTAATGTGGCAGGAAAGTTAATCTGACACTCAGAAAACTCAAGTACACAGAGAGCATTGGAGGGCGACAGAGATAATATTCTTTAAGAAGTCAACTGATGCACTATTATCTCTGAAATTCACACTTATTTTTAAAATTGACAAACTGGCATTTAATACCGCATACTGACATCTATTATTTGGAAGTAAAACTGAGAGCGAAATCAAACTGTAAGCGAAATTGAGTCGACAGCGAAATTAAGCCAAAAGCAAACAGAAGCCAAAAGAAAATTCGAGAATCATGTTTGAAGGATGCCATATGCCAGAGGCCATGCTTTCAAAACTCGCCAAGTGAACGTAAGTACTTACGCACTATTTTCTTGTCTATGATTGGTAGATTTAGTTTGAAAGGCCGTCAATTACACTGTTAGAAAAATTACCGTTAACGGTATTACCGGCGTTTCAGCTAGTGGCCGGTCGGTACGTGAAAAGAAACACCGTGTCGCCGTTTTTATTCTAATTTAACACTGGAAATCCGTAAAACATCTGACAAAAACGGCGAAACGGTTTATTTTCACGGGGCGACCGGCCACTAGAACGCCAGTGGGACCGTTTTTTCGCCGTTTTTTCTAACAGTGTATTGGCTGATGAACTTACGATCTCTTAACTTTTTTTGAAAGTATAGGCCCTGGACGCATGATATTGTACTCCTTTCGATTAGACGTCTCCGTGCCGTTCATCCTTCATGTGATTTTAGGTCGCCAACTGACAACAAATTGCGATAATTGAAGAAATATGCGAAGTAGGAAGAATAATTACTATTCTATTACTAATTTGAAGCACTAAAATTTGTATGTATTTCGGCAATATTTACCTCTTTAATAAAGAATAATACTGAAAGCTTCTGTCGTTTCATCAAAATTCTTACTTATTGCAAAAGTCATTGCAGTGAATCATTTAGTGTACTATAAATGAGTTCAACTTTCGAAAATCTAGAAAAAATCCGTTCCTACACCGAAAAGAAGGAACCGAAAACAAAAATGCACGCAGTCAGTCTGAAGAGTAGAACTGGGAAATTGATTAATTAATCGTCCCAGCATAGGAATTAGCATTCAGATACCGTGTCAAAAATTGAATAAGTGCTGATTAGCTTTTCCCGCTGCATCATTTTATTAAGCTTCCAGATGATGAAACTAAATTCACTCCCAATAGAAAGAAAGATGAGCAATGCAAATCCCGGATTTTTAAATACAATTTAACATCTTACATTACATATTACATTTAAATAACATCTTTAATAAATCAAATAATGCAAACATCCTGGCTTCTGCGGAATATTGGTCATAGAAATCTCACGAGCTGAAACTTACTAGGGGAAAATTAAAAATTTATTCACTTCAACTCGTGTGATTTCTTACATTAATTTTTTTTCAGAAATGCTTTTTCACATGTCCTGTTTTGGAAAAATATTTGGTCATGCATGGCATGAATGATAATTTCTGTTTTTGCTCCTTCAACCGAGTACATATATGTAGTCAAAATTATTCATCAAATTCTTAAAATAATTATATTCATCATTCAAAATTCATGTAAAAATTTATTCTCGATAAGATGGCAAACTGAATAAAAGTTTTGATCTAGTTTAATTTTTTATGTCTCACCAGTCATGATAAATTTGCATTTTATTGCTCATATAAAAAGTTTTGCAGTAATTTTGCTATTAAGCGGTCATTTAAACGTCGTGCTCGCTTATAAACTTACCCAATATCTAAGGAAGTCGTCCTGGATTGTCCTAAAGTTTCTTGGATTAGTTGATGCTTAAGGTGTAATGACTCAATCTAATGACCCATCTTATGATATTTGAGGGAAATTAAAAGCATTACAGGACCAATCGATCCACAAACATCGTCCTGCTTTGGAGCTACTACAATTTCGAGATACTCCAATTTCGAGGTACTCCAATTTGGAGGTGATCCAATTTCGATGTACTCCAATTTCGAGGTACTCCAATTTGAAGGCTCTCCAAATTCAGCCTGTGGGTTTTTGTGCTTTATTTTGACATGAATTTCAGCCTGAAATACTATTTTTTCTCCCGATTATAATATGAATATAGTAGTAGAACCTTCAGAATGAACAAGATAACCTTTTTTATAGTCAATTTTTTTCTAAAATCTGTACATTTAACGTGAGAGCAAGGAATGCAGTGACGCTAACGGGATTGAGAGAACTGTTGGGCAAACAAGTATATTTCGTAGATTTGAGGCCTTGTTTGTAAGTGGTGCTTAGTAAAGCTGTGGCCAGTCATTATAAAATGTTATTCTGTGTTTCAAATAAGAAGAGTTTGCGCAAATTTGCCATTTTTTAGCTTGAAAGGGGAGAAAACTGATAATTTAAAATTTGCGTGTTCCAAAGCGTGTCCAGGAAATATTTTTCAAGCGCTTATCCTTGAGAAGCGCTAGCGGATTATAATGTAAATATAGTTGAATTTCCAAAAGTCCCTGTATATCCAATTTAAGTTGGATTTTATCAAAGTGATGATTTGAGAACGTTGGTGATGTGTTAA